GATTCGCTCGTACCATTTTGCCCTCCGTACATTCTTCAATGGCAAAAAATAAGGAGTAGTTCGGCGCGACACAATTTCGTTGAACATCTTTGCATTCGGAAAATGAGAGAAAGGTAGAGATACCGTTTGAAAGTCAGCAAGCAAAAGAGGACTAGGGCCGGGGCGTTATCGCTTTTGTTTTGAAGCAACAGGCACCAGAACTGTCCAAGTGGATTGGACAGCGAAGAAAAAGTGGGCCAGAAAGCATCTTCGAGCAGTGCAAAAAAGCATAGCGATATCATAAGTATCGTCTACCTGGGAAAACGACCAGATTCGTAAGAATTTACTGCCGCATATATCGGTATTTTTTGAGCCTCAGGTAATGATTTGATAAGGCGACAAATTTCCTTGGCACGTCGAATTGCGGCACTTCCGTCCTCGTCCCCTCGCGCATTGTTACTGATCACCATAACACCTTTGATTGTATTCTAAAAGTGTTATTATTTGTTGATTAAATAGCAGTTGGCGTTTGAGGCGCTGTAGCAAATGAGGTTTCGAAGCGGGGAGTACGAGGAGCAGGGGAATGTGAAGACTGAGGGAAGGAAGCAGTGCAGCATGTCCAGCTGGCATCGTGCATTCACTACTTCGCTGTTCTCATTTCTCAGCAAAATACAGTAATTGTTAGGAAAGATATATATGAAATAGTAGAACAGAGGAATTGGACTTAAATGTCATGTGTAAGAAGACATTTTACGATGCAGTCTGTGTTTCATTCCTTAGCTGTAAACACAGGCCGAACTGTGCATACGAGTAGGAGGAGGATTTACCAGTACAGTCGCCTACTCGCCATCTACCGAACAGTCGTGTAACTAATTTGCAAGACGGATATGCTAAAGAAAGAGAAATCAGAGAAGGAGAGATAGAGAGGACAAATAGAGTGGAAGAAAAGTGAAAGGAGACTGACATTCATTATATATCAATTATGAGGGGACGCTTTTTACGAGACTAGCGTGCTGATTAGGCGTTTAATTTCCAAATCGTCAGAAAAGATGAATTTGCTGGGTACTGATCGATTCCTGAAGCAGAATCTGAGAATAAAGCATTCTATTTTGGCAACATCAATCTTTTTATGTCTGTAGATACTTTTATAGGCCGTTTAGCCGGTTCATGGAGCCCTCTGGAAGAGTGCATATACGTGCATAACGAAGCAGTTGCGATATAATGACACCTTCTTGCAGCATTTGGTCCATATCGCTAACTGAATACTCCAGTGATTTATTGTGAATGGGCAGTCCAAGGTTTTATTTCTTACGCTGAAAATACATCTACCTTCTCGGCACAAAATTTCAAGGTCTAAGAAACAAGCCCTTTGTCCGGAGTAAGTGGTGGTGTTTGGAGGCTGAACCCATAGATGTTACTGGCAATTTCAGCAAAGCTTGCGCAGTTAACAATAATGTCATCAGTATATCGAAATAGATGAAGATGAATCCCAGGACTGTTACAGAGGAGCCGATATTCCATGAATGACAATGTGAGCTCGGCATTATCAGGACTAGCATTACTGCGCATTGGTACACCTTGTTCTAACTTGGAAATGTAACCACTAAGATGCACGAATGTTTCTTGAAGAACAATCCGAAGAATCGCCTTGACTTCATCCTTAGTATAGAATATGACATCACCTGTGAGTTCGTTAGCATACCAAGTTTGGGTATGGTGAAGAAACTATACGAGCATTGCTGTCTATGGTAAAGGTCAAGTTTAAGTAGTTGATGATGGTACCTGAACCTGTACATTCTATGATTAGGTTCTGGCCGTAAATGTCTCGACAAAGGGAAAGAAAAATGTTGAAATAGACGGGCCGTCTGCAGCGTATAGCCGTTTACGTGGTTACGAACTTTCGCAACCACTTTCAGTAGTTGCGAAAGTGAGTCTTAAAATGAATCAACATATGATGCGTCATAATCGAAACACTTCAGAGGGATGATTAATTTGCTGATAACGATGACATAGGGGTCTTTAGGATCCATAGGGATTTTTATGAAGCTTGCAGATAGCATAGATGAAGGAGATAGATGTGTCATCACCGGTGGCATGAAACTGAAAATTATCTAGTATTTTATGCTGATCGAGGACCAGTTGTTGGACAGAAAGCGGTACTAGTCTGCATACATTGTTGCCTCGAACGCGGTTAGGGCTGTTGCAACTGAGTTCATCGCAGTGCAGTGAAGCACAGTACTTCTTCCATATTACTATGTATTTATTTGGCGCCTTGTCAACAGACGTTATGACAAAATTATCTGTGTGACTCACATAAGGCTTCATCAAAATCAACATTGACTTAAGAAGAAGAATAGCAACTGTTACTATTCACCACCATGCCGCAGCTAGTACCCTATTTTTATGCGTTTTTATTGTGCAGCGCTATAGCGCTCCTACAGCCAGCAAAAACCCATATTGTCGAGAGACTGTCTGTGTGTGTGTGTCTTCGGAAGCGAGTGCATTTTGGCGCCCACTTTCATCTCAGTAACCAGGAAAGCTGGGAGGGTGAAACTTTGGATATATGTTCTTCCCGTTTTAAGATCCTTCCCCATGCGCGCCTAGACCCCGCGTACGAGACCCGCAAAGAAATGTGTTGACGGAAAGCGATTTTTCGAACCAGGCAAGGTTGAAAGCTAAAACTTTGCAGGGATATTCTCTATACACATGCGAGCTAAAAATTTTAAACTCAGCTGTCGAGCATCCCAACCACAGCCTCAAGCAGCTCCTCAACTCAGAGATCGTTAGCAACTCGGGCTTGAACCGTAATCGTATATGTGAATGAACATGGATTATTTGACAAACGACCGTTCGAGCAATACTTTCAATTTTCAATGAGCTATAAATTTGCATTTTTTTCAAAAAACTTGCATTTGTCGTTTTTATGCGTTTTTGCATATATGCAAATGCGAAAACGCATATTGTGACGACCGCGGTGTGTGTGTATGTGTGTGTGTGTGCGTCTGTCCGGGTATTTCAACTCGACACCCAAGCAATCTCCGGAGCCAGAATTTTACAGGTGGGTTCCTCGGTCAAGTCCCACCCCAGGACGGCGGTACCAACCCACAAGCACGCAAGGCCCCGCGTACGAGGGCGTGAAAGTTTTAACGGGAAAATCGCTAACTTGGAAATCAGAAAAGCTAGAAAGCTTAAATTTTGGGATTATGTTTCCCATCAAACTGGAACTCAAAGATTTTAAATTCAGCCTCCGGGAGTGCACGGTTCCCGCGTACGACCCCGTCAGGGCTCCTGGCACGAAAATCTCTAACTCCGGAACCAGGGAAGCTGGGAGGCTGAAACTTTCAAGAAATGTCCCTAACCCATCTATAACTTAAATTTATCAAATTCAGTCCCCCTTATGCGTAGTTGCCACTTACGGCCCGCGAAAGTTTTTGGCGGGAAAATGAATAACTCCGGAAGCAGAACCTATTAGGAAATGTTCCCGACTCATCTACAACTTGAATTTATTAAATTCAGACCCCCGTTAAGCGTGGTTGCCACTTACGGTCCCGTGAAATTTTCTGGCTGCAATTTGGGTAACTCGGGAACTGAGAAAGCTTGGAACCTGGGATTTCAAGGGAATGTTCCTCGTCCAAGTATAGCGTGGATAATTAACTTCCCGAAATTCGAGGAACAGTATGTACTAGAGGTTTCTAGCTAGCTGAATTTCGAGTGATCTTATTACAGCATGAAGCACTGCAAAAACGCATGATCGCACTGGTCCACCGGTGCGCGTCGCCAACGATTTCACAATACGAGCATTTACCGAAAAAACGACCGAACTTCATGCAAAAAACTGGTAATCATTCACTTGGTTGTTCGTGCGTCTCTATAAATGAACCACCTTCATCCCAACAGACGCCCTTCCTCCTGCATGCCGGAAAGGATCAAAGTACGGCCAATATGAGCCCAACTGTTACGCTACAACGTAGGGATCATTCCTACTAATAGCGATCTGCCAGTTCAGTGCAAAAACGCATGATCGCACCGGAGAGCCTGATGCATCCCAGCCTGGGTTAGCATTGCTCAAAAACTGACTTGGACTAAATTTATCTTTCTTAACCCAAAATAACCCGGCGTTTTCTTTGCGAACCTGAACAGCATCTGGCCGTCAAATTCAAAATTCGTTTTTGGCACAGAGAGCTGTCGCACAATATCAAGACGTCTACCTCTTTCTTCCATCCAAAAAGATCTTGAAACAGCTGCTTGTTATTTTCAGCTTTGCGCATGCATATATCGAAACCAGCGCTGAAAGAAGAAATTGATTTTTAAATGATCAGCGCAAATGCCTTAGTTTGCAAAGGACAAGTTATGTTTAAAAATTGCTTAAGCCTCTGCGCCAAAAATTCATGAGAGTAGTATTTTTTTAGAAGCATAAAGAGGCACTTTAGTAGGTCCAATGACGGAAAAATGATGTCGACATGCACATCCTTACGCTGCAGTAATGCCTTCGGAATAACAATAACGGAAAAAGCGTCACGAAGCAGTTCTTTTACTTCCGTCCAGCGGGGGTCCAGTACAGCTGCAAATTGAATAAACCAGTAGTTGCATGCACCTGACTTCCAGGTTCACAGTTTTTCTACAAATGCTTGTGGTCATGTATCACTGTTGTTTGGTTAGATACTTCCAGCTAAGCGCACAGAAAAACGAATTTGTTTTTGTCATTCTCTGCTGTTTTTATGGCGTTGAAGTGACATGCTAAAATTGCCTGTACCATACGGCATCTTACTGGAGATGTAATAGAAACGCAGAGCCGGCCTATTGTTGAATTGGCGCGGTACCAGTTTTAACTTTGGAATGACCATACTTGAGACGTAAGTAAAAGCTAAATTTAGATTCTCTGGGCCACAAATGACCAAGGAGCATCCTTGTAAGGTCCCAGCATTATAGCTTATCTGGCCCCCGAAGTCATTTTCCTGCCATATCTTCCGCTCATCACTACATGAGAACTCAGAAAACGAGAACATC